GGGGGAGGGGAAAGTTGCACTGGTCTCTTCCCAGCAGGGGTGGGGGGGGGGTTGAGCCACGCTGCGCTCAGGGCAGGCGGCGGTGGTACTGGGAAGGACGGTTGGGGGAGTTTACAGTAAATTTTTGGGTGGCTGCACCCCCATCCCGTACCCCTGCTCCCAGCACTGCCACTGCAGCTGCTTGGCCCAAGTGCAGCCTGCCCCAGTACCCCTGCTTGGAAGAGCCTGGCACTGGCCTTGGCCCTAGCCTGCCCCCCCCCCGCAGATCTAGGGGCACATGCCCCCTATACCCTCCTGCTGCAGCTGGCCTGGGTGCAGCTGGACACCATGTGTGTCCTGTCACTGGGCTGAGCCATGGCCACGTGGCCAGCTGCAGAAGGACTCAAGTGGGCAGTGGCAGCTGCTTCCACCTGAACATATCAGTGGGGGGGCACATGCCTCCAGAGCCTCAGCCAGGTCACACCCAGCAGTGGGAGCCCCCCCTCCCCGCCCCAATCTTCCCAGCACCTGGCCCCACTCACCTTCTCTTGCTCCTGGCTGGGCTGCACTGTCCGTCCCTCACTGCAGGGTCCTCAATCTGGCCCCCACCACTTCCCTTGCCCAGACTGACCTGCTGGGCTTGGGAAAGGGGAGGGGGGGTGGTGTGCATGCATGCATGCAACTAGCCCCCTCCAGCCCAGGATTGACCAAAAGAGGCTCCCTGATCAACAAGTCCATCATGATCAACTGGCTGGGGACAACTGTCCTAGTTCTTACACCTACTATTCCTGTTGATGCAACCTAAAAATATATATATATATATATTTTTTTTATAGATGTCCCATGGCTGACCCACATGAAGTCTATGATCTAAACCCCTTGGATCTCTCTCAGCATCACTAGCACCCTGCCAGTTATTGCCTATTCTGTATTTAGGCTTTTGGTTTTTCCATAGGTGTAGTACTTGACATCTGACTGTAAGGAACTTCATTCCATGGTCTTTAGCTCAACTCTCCAATCACGATCCTGCTAATTCTACTCTTATAGTCTGATGTGTCTGTGATTCTTTCCCATTTAATATAATCTCAAAACTGGATCAAGCAGCTCTTTATTCCAGCATCCAAATAATTAATAAAAATTAAATCAGCACCTGACACTGTGGAATGACACTTAAAATACCCTGTCACTCTGACCTTGATCTATATATAGTTGTGGCTATTGAGCCAATTATGTATCCATCTAATAATTTTATTTAACGCATATTTCTTCTGTTTTACAGGGATCCTGGTTCTGTTTAAAAATCACAAATTCGCTTATTAAAAAAATTTGTAAACTCTCAGATTAATCCCCTCCCCCCCCTGAGGAAGGGGCCCCCAGCTGCCAGGGCTACAGGGCCAGGAACCCGGGTCTGCAGCCCCCTGCCTCCCCCCACCCCAATAAGTGCCTGACCCCCTGGAGTGCTCACTGCAGCAGGGAGCCAGCCCCCTCCCCCGGATAAGCCACTTGCAGCTACATCCCACTGCCCAACTCCCTCCCTCACTATGGAGGCCTCAGTCTCCCCTCTTCCCCCCCCCCACCAACTTATCTGCAGGAGCTGCTCTCCAAGCTGCCTGGCAGCCATGTGCATGTGTGTGTGCACACATGCACATGGTACTCCCTGCCTAACCACCCTCCTCCTGCTCCCCCCAGCTCCTTGCAGGCTGGAACTCTGCCCGCCTGCGAAGGGAAACCCAATGCTTCTAGCATTTTTCTCCTTAAAATGAGAAAATCTGGGTTTTACCACATTTTTTGGTGGCGAACAGATTATGAAAATGTCATACAGTTTATCAAAAAATGTACTAAAATTTAAGTATGCTGCATCCACTGCTTTCCTTTCATCCAGCAACCTAGCTCTTGGGTCAAAGGAGATCAAGTGGGCCTGGCGTAATTTGTCCTAACAAATACATGCTGGCTGCTAATGACTAGCCTGTTCTCCCTCCAGACCTGATGGGAGTTTGATTCACCCAGGACAGGGAGGGGGAAGGTGTGGCTACACTTGTTCCTTCCTATGTAAAATCCCTTATCCTCTAATCAGCCTTCCTTAGCAGACACTTATATTGCTTTCCTGGAGCCTCTTGCTTCTGTGAAGTTCAGTGGACATAAAACCAAACAAGGACTTTCTTCAGATTTTTGTATCCAGATTTCCATCCCCCTCATCAAGTTTTTGAAGATTTTCCTATTACAATTAGTTACTTGAGCTTTGCCAAATAAATAGCAGATTTGATAAATATAAGAATTTTGACTTTGCTTTTCTATGGTGCTTTCACAATTGCATTCCCCTCAGCATGCAATACCAAGGTTAAATATAAGATTATATCAAGATATCAATAGGAATACAATTCTACAGTAAACTTCAGGGTAATTTGTCTGTGGGATATATCTGACAATGGGAAATGTAAACCATGTGGTTCGATCCTCTGCCAACAGCCCCATGACCCCCAATCTCAGCAATTTATCAAGTCTTGATAATTGGTCACTACTGGATAATGTGCCATTATTCACCATCTCATTGGTACAGAGATTTAACTCCAGTTTACTGTATTTCTCTGCTCAATATAGTTCATCTAAAGTATGGAGTATTTCAGTCACTGGTGCTTCACTTTCCTGTACTCATTGCCTGGACACTTCCAATTGCTACAAGAAGATCTTTTTTAACCCGATCTTTTTGCGAATAAAATTCTCAGCTGCATAGATCTGGAACATTTGTGAATCTTCAAATTAAGAGCCTGGATACAATATTTACATCAGTGTAGGTCACATGCTTTTTGTAACCATCCTGGGATCCTGACTAGACAAATAAGTAGCTTATCACTGGACAAGAGAACCTTGGCCATCATTACTGCTTAACAACAAGGGAGACAGTAGCAGCCTGCTGCACTGAGCAACACAGGAGATCAATTGCAGAGAAAACACCTACATGGGTGTGATTTAGGACCAAAAAAACCTGGAAGGGGTTCCTGGGCCACTCAGTCTAGACTGCCTGTGAATCCAGGGGACATCTAACCAAGGAATCCCCCAAATCACTACAAACCCTCACATGCACCATACAAATACTGCAAACACCAGCACGAGGGCTCTGCCTTGTCCTGACACTGCAAAAGCGAGGAACTGGCTGATTAATAGATGTTTAAAAGATCCTTGGAAGTGGACCATGCAACACACTAACAGAGGAAGACAAAAACCTCTGTCTGTGTCTATCTGACCTAGCAAAAAAATTCCTTCTTGACCCCAAATCACACGTATAGTTTTACTTCTGGCTCTCCTGGAGGTAATTCTACTCTGGATTGGGTGATAAAGTTACCCTAGCACACAGCTATGTCATATGCGTTTTAAAAAAACCCCAAAAACCACATTCATGTAACAGTCAAATACATCAGTACACAGATGCACAAAATGCTGTATGTTATTAATTGCCCAAGAGAACTCTGGAATTTAGGATTCTTCCATACATGATTTCTTGTGACCACAGTCTTTGAAAAGTTAGTGCATAAATTCCTCCAGTCATGGGTGCATCATACTAGGATAGCTTCTCTTTTAGTTTTTGCTCCCTGCATACTAACCTAAAATATTTAGCCTTTTCTTAATCAAATCTCAATGCTTTTGTTTCTGGCAGATAGGAAGGGTAGAGATGGGAGGATGCTTCTATACACATAAGACTTATTTGGAACAAAGCAACAACACTTCAGTTATGCACATTAAATCAAACTCTATCAGATCTTACATATTTAGTAAATTTAAAGTCAAGAAACTCACAGTGGTACCTTCAAGTGACTACTGTTCTCTTAGGCTGAAGGATCAGTTAGTCCAGAATATTTTATCCTTGTGGAAAAGATCAAGGAAAATATTTACGCACATGTTCTTTTAAAAATATGAAAAGAAACAGATTTTTTGTGCTTTATTGTATTTAAATATGAAGCTTCTGCAGGTATTTTAACACTGCTACCAAATGCACGGAAATAACAGTCCCTAATTCACGTACAAGTAAAAATCAAAATAAAGCTTCTGTAACAAAAATAGAATTTACTGTACAATAAACCAAAAATGGGTGAAAAATTGTAATTTATTGAAACTTGTAACTCAAAAAATATAAGATGCTGTAGTGTACAATATGTTACACAAAGCACCATTAGGTGCACATTCAAGTCAAGTAAGAACTCATCTCCCCCAAACCCTGGTACCCTAGTACTTGTTCCATATACAATCATGCATGTTTACTCTGCAAGAGGAAGCCCCCAGTATTCGGATGTGTTAATTAGCACCAAGAACAGTACAGTTCATTTAAAAAAAAAAATAAAACCAGGGAGCTAAATGAACTTGGCCAATACTTTTGACAGATATTATACATTCATGGAATTAAACAGCCTAACTAACCTAAACAGTTTGTGTACTGTACCAGTTTCTGTTCTAGGTTGCAATTCTCTCTATGTAGCAGTAGTGGAGGCAGTATGTTCTTAAACAAAACTTCTTATGTACTTCCCACACAAAGCTCATCTGTCTTTTTTGTTGGAAACAAGTCTATAAGGGGAGTGGAAAATTTGGATCTTTCAAGGACAACTACTGGTCGCAAGTAATGAAGCTGTTTTAAGGCAAGGTCTCCACAGTCTGTTAATGCCTTGTCCAATATGGCCCGCAAGTTGTCTAGAGAAGGGGCAGATGGCGACTCCGATATTAAAGGCTGGACTTCCGTAAGCTCTGAGTGATTATTTGGGGGTATGCTCACTTCCGGATCTCTCTCACTCCCCAAACTGTTAACTGCCTCATCTCTTTGACAGTCTCTCTCACTCTCTAAGTCACCATCCATCTGAAATGACTCAGGAGACTCCCATTCAACAAGTTCATCGAAATCATCGTCGTCATCTTCTCTTTCCTGGCTTTCTTGAATAAATTTTAGAAATGAAGATTCAAATCCCATTGGTTTAAAGGATTTTAAATCAAAGGGTTTGGGCAATGAATGCTTCTGAAACTTGTCTCTTGTACAGAAGGAATTTCTTTTAGAATTCTGATGAATCGAACAGTGGTGCCAGTCTTCTGTGACCTTCTCCCTTGGTAACTCCAACTGCAAATTGGTAAAATATTCACCATTTTCTCTTCCATTGTTTTCAGGCAACCCTTCTGTTTTACACAAAGGTGGCTCAGTTATGCTATCTTCTTCAAAACTGGGTTTTGAACTGTGGTCATATTTTAGAGTGTCTGAATACAAAAAGGCCTCTGTGTCAAAACCCTCACTAGTTGCTGAGCAGCTGTTCTGATTTTCTTTGTCTGTATCTGGATGATCATAATCAGTATCTGGAACAAGAGGTTTTACGCCTTCTTCGTCTTCCTTCCAATTAATTTCGGTATCTGCTGGATTTTCCTGTTTAAAGTCTCTCATTTCTTCTTGGCTTAAACACACCTCTGTTTCTGAATGGGATTCATTTTTAATCATTGTACCACATTTAACACAAACTACAAGTTTCTCAAACTGTTGTTCTATATAATTACTGGTCAGCTGATGTGTACGCTTATAATGTCTCACAATACTACTTTCCAATTTAACTACAGACAGACACCCTTTGACTATGCAGGGATACTGGTTCTGGTCAGCTTTCTCTTTACACATTTGCAGGGCTTCCTCCCTTGTTTTAAAAATAATGGGATGCTTTTCCTTATTTTTGAGAGCTTTTTTGGATTTGTCTTTTACCTGCCTCTCATTCTTATTCTCCTCGTAGTGATCTGTCAAATAATCTTGTTCATTGTTATCATCATCTTTCAGCAGGTTATCTTGCTCCTCTTTCCGATTTCCAAAGAGTCTATTGTAGTATTCCCGATGTCTGAAATATACATGCTGAGAGTAACGACTGTAATTGGTGAAAATTCGGTCACAGCCATTGAAGTCGCATTGGATTTCAAAATCTTTGTTTATTTTTTCTTCATTGGCATGTTCTTCCATCAGGTGATGTTTTAACTTGTTAAAAGTGTAAAATACAGCAGGGCATTGATGATGGTTACAAGGAAACCTTGCAGATTCCATTTCAGAAAGCACTTTTTGATCCTCCAAATTTTCATTATGAAAGTCACTACAATGTTTAGCAAGAGCCTTAGAACAAATGAAACGTTTATTACACTCTTTGTGTTTGCATGCAAATATTTTTTTACATTTGACAAGTTCCCTTTTTGTTCTTGCTTTGTCTTTTTCTAAACAGAGCTGCTCTTTATTATACTGGTGTACAGTTCTATAATGACGAATCAAGCCTTTCTGATTGGTAAAGGCAGAATTGCAACTTTTATGAATACAATGAAACGGTTTGTGGTACTTATGCAATATATAACATAAGTTTCCTTTGGCAACTGTTCTTTTACTTCCTCTTCCTTCTCTTGCTTCCAGTTCTTCCCTGTGGCTGTCCAGAGAAGTCATGTTAGAGGGTTTTCTAGTTACATTACTATCTATTTCTTCACTGGACTCCACATCGGTTTCAGAACTACACTCTTCCTTCTTAGGACGGCACAGCTCAGTTTGCTCAGGTTGCTTAGTAAGTTCATTTTTATCATCACAGAAAGTAGGTGTGGGTACCGAGTCACCCTCTGCACATGTGTTTACATGCTCACATTTTTCACTGGCAAATATTTTGTGATTTACCTTCTCATTGCCAATTTGATGCTTGTTTCTATAATGAATTCTAAGGTGTGTTTTTCTTGTAAATGATCTTTGGCAAATGTGACATTTAAATGGTGAATAGCGATGTTGAAACATATTTAGCTGAAGAACCATTTCCTTTGAATAATTATGTTTTCTAACATAATGCATTAAGAGAGCTTCTCTGGTCACAAACTCACATGTACAACCTTGATGTTCACAGAAAAATGGTTTAGCTGCCAGCTGTGTAAGATACTGGCTAGGTAAGTTGTCTTGTTGCTCTGGAAATTCTGAGGTAGATTCATCTCCTGATTTAGGGCATTTGGCTTCACTTGATGAAAATGAATTAAATGACCCTGAAAAATGCTTGTGCGCTAAAGAAGAATTTGCAACGTGAACATTGGAATTTTTTAGGCTTAAATGTTTCAAGCCCAACAGAAGTTCTAACATGTTATCATCAGTACTTGCCATTTTAGGACGTTCGTAAAAGGAAGATTCTGGGGAAGAACAAATCATTTCCTTGAAGCTGATCTTTTCTTTAGAGTCTATATTACAATATACATTTTCTGGAGAGTCAACACTTGAGTCTGAGTTATGCCCTAGCTCCACACTGATGTCACCAGCTGTTTTGCTGTTTTCAGCATCCGTGACTAGACTGAGAATGTCTCTATTTTTGATCCCCATCTTTTTTTTAGATTTGAAGTGGTATGGATGAGCCCTTCGAAGATGTTTTTGCATACCTTTGGCATTTTTGTATGTTGAACCACAGCCTTCAAAGCCACAAGAAAATTTTTTTCCATCAAAGCAAACTGCTACATTGGAAAACTGCTTTCCATCCATCAGTTTTGAGAGAACACTTCCCTGGGATATTAGAAAACTTGGAACTCTCTGATGGTGGTCCACTGCATCAATCAACAAAGGAGACCCTTCCTTTTTGTTCTGTACAGGAGATGTGCTGAAGCTCTCAAAATGCACGCTGCAGTTGCTTTCACTATCTATATCTTCATTGTCAGACAGACTTTCCTCCTTAATCTCTGGGATATCTTGAGAACCTGCAGGCTCCACGGACAATGTACTATTTTCATGCAGACTGGAATTATCTGATTGTTCGAGCAGTTGGGTCTCAGGAAGATAACTACATTTGTCTCCTGAAATATGTTCAAGTTTAACTGTGTCCTTTACTTCCCCATTCGCTACTGTAACATCATGCATTGCAAGGTGATTCTGAAATTCTGTTTTTGAATAATAGAACTTTTTGCAACCAAGAAAATTACACGTGTATGACGCATCCCTAAAGTGCTGCGCTTCATGGTGGTAAAGCTGCCCCAAATCACTGAAAACAATGTTACAGCCATTCAACTCACATTTGTAACGTAGATCGTCATGCGTTTGTTTGTGATTAAGTAATTCATTAACTGACCCAAATCTAGCATAGCAATCCATAGAAACACACATATAAGGCTGAGGACCACAGTGCACTTGCTCATGCTCCCGCAGATGAAAGGAAGTCATGAAGTGTCGTCGACAAAAAGCACACTTCTCTCTCCTGTTTTTCATATCTAAGTAGTGTTTTGCATTTTCATCATTGTTTTGATGTTCAGCTTTCAGATGTACACTAAGGTATTTAAATTGCTTAAATACTCTTGAACAGTCTGTGCCAGGACATGGATATATGTCTCTGTCTTGCAGGTGGCAATTTTCTAATTGGCTAAATGTGACATATTCCTGTGTGTCACTTCTGGACTTTTCCAATAGCTGGGGCTGTTGCTGCTGGCTTTCCTCTGGTACTGCACAAGGGCTCCTGGGGGTACTTGTTTTTTGTAATGATTTATCTTTTTTCAACAAAATTTTCTTTTTAGGTCTGTGTGTTCTACTGGGTGGCATTTTAACATGTTCCATTACATGTGGTACAAAAATGTCCTTTCTCTTGAACTTCTTTGTACACACTGGACATGTATAAATGCCATCTTCCATGTGCATCTTAGAATGATGTAGTATTCTAGCCTCTATACATTCCCTTTTGCATAGCACACAGAAGAATTTGTATTGAAGCCATCTCTGGTACCTTTCTGAAGAGCCAATTGGCTTTTTCACTCTTGCTTTGTCTTTAGAGAGACCAGTTGCATCTCTTCCTTCATAATATTTATGTTCTCTAGTCTCATCACAGTCACTTAAAAAAGTTTCAAATAGGTCAGTTTCATTGAGTGACAGATCAAGGCAACTTGCATCATCTTCAGAATCAGAAGCTTCTCTTCCTAACAGTTTAAGACAGTGTCGTTTTAAAGTCTTCCAGTCCCAGAATTCAGGATCAAATGGCCAATAAGCTTTTAAAGCCAGCAGAAGCTCACAACGGAGAGAATTTGGAACGGGTGCATTTTCTTCATCAAATTTTTGATCTGGTTGCAAGTACAGCTCTTCCAGAACACTAAAACCACTGAAAGTTGGCTCCAGTAAGAATTCAGTGAGCTGGCATGCTCTTCTAACTTCAAGGTCATCTGGTAAAAGGCATGCAATTGTTTTACATACAGATGTTTTCATTTCATCATTTCCATTTGATCTGATCTGAAGAGCTCTCACACACAATAAAATTGACACAGCAAGACCTGCTTCTTCTGCCTGTGTGGAAAAACAAACACACAAAGTTATGACTCAATTATTTGCTAGATGCATTCTTTCCAGAATCACACTATATGGAACAACTCTATACATAAAACTACAAAACAAGACACTTATTATGGTGCTCAATATTTGTCTGTACGTAAGAAAAGTTAGTGCATTAAGTCAGACTGTGAATTTAAAGCACCTACCTACTCCGCAGTAATTCCTCATATACGAAGGAATTTGATACTAAGTGCACACCCAGAGTGTCTACACAGGGAGGTGTTAGGGAGTAACTTCTGCATTATAGTTTCCATACCAATTTCTTTTTGTTTAGTCCTGAACACTGTAAACAATTTGAGAATAGAAATGCTTCCAAAATGAAGAAGGCTGGGAATTAATACTTCAAGTACAGGGGGATGTACTTTACAATTTGACATATTTTAAAGAACGACACAAATAGAATGTATCCATAGGACATTTTAAATATTCAGCTTATTTCTAAATGAACATGAACAATGATTTTCTGGAAGCAGAGATAATTGTGTTTTCAGGTATAATTTCTTGGAGCCGTCACTAATCTAAGAAAAACCATTTACATTTAATTGAGAAAAATATTGATAACTAGACACCAGCTATTTAATACTGACACTATACTTTTAAAGACGCACATACATGATCCCTCTCCCCCCATTTTACACTATTCCTTTGGTCTTGCTTTCTCTCTGTGCTATTCTTTACCAGAGTTTTATTTATTTATTTGAGGGCATGAGAGTTTGCAAAGGCAAGGAGGCACAAGTCAGTAAACACCAGGTCATTCATTTTGTCCCTATGCAGAATATATTACAATACAGACAACTAGGTGATCCAGAGACCCAGGTCCCATTATTTGTACGCAGACTAAATGATATTTGGTGAAAGAGAAATGTTGAATAACTGCCCCAAATTTAAGTCATCCGCAGGCCTTGTTCCTGCTCAGCGTTCAAATCCTGCTCCAAAAAAAAAGATGCGTGTGTGGGGGGGAGGATTTCTCAGATTTTCTTAATTGTTTTTTTCTATTGCACTCATACACTTCAACATTTGAGTCTCACTTGCAATACAGAATTTACCTTTGCAATAGCCACCAGCCCACTGCAGGTAAAGTATAACAATATAAATGAGTTCTTAGCCCACTGCAGGTAAAGTATAACAATATAAATGAGTTCTTATGGTGAATCTAAAGGGAACATTTAAAAAAAGCTATATTTAATAAAGGTGTAATTCTACAGGTGTGGATACTCATTTTCAACATGAAGGTCAGTGAAAACTGAATGGATACTTATACGGATAGTAAGAAGCATGCATCTAAGTCTCAGCACAATTCTCATACTTGAATAAATTTCCTGCTCCAAACCACTGAGACATTCAGAAGTTACCAGAACACATCATCATTAGCAACTAACCCATTTTCCCTATCCTACCTTTATATTCAAGCAGTGTTTCATGAGTTTTGCTCCCCCAAAAATCTAACCCAATGCTGAGACCAAGCCTGTAAAATTTCAGTGTGAACAGTTCAAGATCAAAATAAGAAAAGGAAAGAAAGGTTAGCCTGCCTCACTATTGTTATAACATCATTGCTTTATTTGGGTCTCCTGCTAAACAACATAAATGCAGTTTTTTACATCCTCATGCAACATCTTTCAGTTTTGTAATTTTTTTCCTCATCTACAGAGCCCTACTTGTTCAGAGATAGGGTGACCAGAACTGAATGAGCTACTGACTGAGAAAAATAACAATTCTTCCAGAGTTATTTTTGATCTTACTATTAAACTTGTCATTGTTTGCCTTTATAATACTGCTGCATAAATAGCCAGGGTGAGCTCTTAATAGAAAATGCAAAGAAGGCACAGGTGTAAGAAGAACTTTGCCTCAGTCTTCATAAAACGTGACAACTAACAAAAATTATATAGACAAAGAAAGGGGAAAGCTGAGGGAGACCGGGAGAGGACTTTTGCTCCGTTTGAATGCATTCAAGGGCCTGATGAACTTCGGCCCAGGACACTAAAGGAACTGGTAGAACAGATCTTAGAGCTCTTGGCAACAATATTTACCAAGTTACAAGAGACAGGTGAAGTACCAGAAGATTAAGAAAAGAACCAATATAGTGTCGCTCTTTAAAAGTAAGAGCAAAAAGGAGAACCCAGGGAATTATATATTGGTCAGCTTGACTTCAAAGTTAGGGAAGTCACTGTGGCAAACTATAAAAAGCCTATCTGTAAACATCTGTCCTGGGTCCAGTGCCATTCTACATTGTCATTAGTGATCTGGATGGTGGAACAGAACGCTCCCTAAGCAAATCTGCAGGGAACAAAACTGGGAAGGACTGCAAACACTAGATCAGTGGTGCTCAATCTTTTGGCCCTAGAGGCCAGATAAATAGTGCAGGGCCAGTCTGTGGGACAGACTGGGACCAGAGGCCTGGCACTAACCCCTCCTATGCTAAGACTGGGTGCTAGGGGGCCAGCCCTGCCCCCTCCCACATGCTAGGATCAGGCATCAAATCGGGTGTGCAGGGCTCAAATGAGTCCAGAGAATTGGTAGCGAGGGAGCAGTACCAAAGCTCCCCTGACACCAAATTTCTGGACCTGTGGGGTGCCCCATGGGCTGGATTTGGCCCAGAGGTTGAGCACTGCTGCGCTAGAGGAGAGGAGATTCAGAAATGTCTTGAGGAACTGGAAAGCTGGAGACTAAAATTGGCGGCACGGGAAAAGTGTGCATGGAGCGTGGAAGGAAGAGCAAGCAACAGTGACTTTAACCCTGTCGTTTCCAGAGTCTTTCCAACACAGCAGCTCTGATAGCTGCACTAGCTAGCCACTGCTCAGCCCACAAGAAGCTCCGTGATCCAGATCTGCCTCATGAAGCCAAATAAGCTGGACACTCACAGACTGGACAAACACGTGTATAGAATGGTTTAGATAGGAATGATCCTGCCTTCAGCAGGGGCTTGAACTAGATGACCTTCTGAGGTCCCTTCTAGCCATAGCTTTGTATTGTGCATGGTTAGAATAATTATGCTTAGATATCTGCGTGGTTCAAATTGATTCAGAAACTAACTAAATGTATGGGTGGCTCAAGTTGCTTTTTCTACTGTGCATTATACCTTGCACCTGCATGTGAAATCTTTTTTTTTTTGTCATCGTGCTCTTTGGCTTTAAGTTCCATACTGAGGTTGAAGACTTCTCTACCCTTGGCTAAACCTAGTCCACTGCACTTTTTGCAAGATTTATGAACATTGTTCAGCACCTTTAAGTTCATCATAGGTACTAGGACTAGTGTTTAAAAAAGGAGAGGCACACATTTATTAAGCTTTTGGGGCATTTTTTAAAAGAACTCAATACATACTCATTTCAACATTGACCTTATTTTAAAGGTTAAAGAACATTGTGCTGTTGCATATTTATTTTTTGTCGAGGGAAATATTAGTTAAGAAATCCAGGTACATGGACTGAAAACTACAGTATATTAAACAGGTCTCTCTCAATTGTATACAAGAGCAAGTCATAGAAAATAAGGGCTGGAAGGGACTTTAGGAGGTCACCTAGTCAAATCCCTTGCTCAAAGCATGATCACCTCTATTTAAGCCACCTGGACAAATGTTTGTCTATACCACATTTACAAGTTTCCAGAGAAATCACAGAAAATGACTAGCTAACTGCTTAACTAGGTTGGGATTATGACAGAAGTTTGTATTAATGTCTTACAGCCTTCACTCAGTTAAATTACTGGCAAAACAAAGCTGCAGAGTGCAGAATATATTACTTACTTCAGACTGAATGACTCTTATCAGGAAAAATAAGTGTTGTAGTGTCTTGGCTATGATGCCAAACTGCCGACATCTCTCCAAAAAGGAATCTAAAGAAGGGTCAATTCTTTTTTGCAACTTACTCCAGAACAGAGTCAGCTCCCTGTGAAAAGAGTTCAAAGCAGACTAAATATAATGCAAGACAATGGTGGTGGGAGAAATTTGTCACAAGTCTAGCTCTGAAAGGTGATACCATTTTACTGACTGCTGCAGTATGCCACACTTTTGTCTGGTTATTAATAAAGTCTCCCTTGTGCAGGTAGAACTATCATGTCGTATAAGTGAAGAGATCATATCCATGCACAGCTATGCAGACAAACCTGTTTCCTGTTCAAGCGTGGAGGCATTAGGTACTTTAAAAAGGTAATTCTCCCCCAACTCACCTTCACTTTTTAAGTTTACATCTCCAAAGGTAGCATTTTTTGCTCCATGCTAAGTGCTGGGTATATTTTTCAAGCACAGGGTCTCACAACCTGTGCTCTTCAATTTGAGAAATTAAGATACTTTTAATTTAATTACAGAATAACCTTATTTCAGGAAGCATTTCATTCCTTCCTGAATTTTGTTAAACCAACTTCAAGTAAAAGTAGAGCCACAGCTAATAGGGAAAGTGGTTAAACAGTGGTTTTTAGACTCCCCATACACCAGATTATTCTTAAAATCAGAAGTTTGCAACCCACAATTTGCAGCATGTTGACAAATTAAGGTCCAGCCATTCAGCTACAAGCTATGGGGTTTTTTGCTTTAAAAACACTGCTTTTCTACTCAACTGGAGCATAGCAGCATCCCTGTGCATCTAGCTGGAGAATCAGTGCTCTTTCAAATAAAAGCCACAGAAGTTAACTGGAACACCTCAATGGCATCATGCTGAACTATAACCCCCACATGCTCACAAACCCTCACCTTCACAGGGTGTTAAGGAACCTAACCTCACAAAGAATCTGGGCTCTACTGCATTGTACAAGCGCAACAATTTCTCTCCCTCCCCCCGCACAGGCTTTAATATTTCAGTTCTTCCATGCATCCAAACATGCGTCTTGTCCATTTCTGTTTTTCTTAAAAAACTAAAAAAACACTATAGCTTGAAAACTGAGTAAAATGACTAAACACAGAAGTAATAACTGCCATTGTGCTGTTAGAATGAGATCTTTGTTGTTCAATTAAGCATAGGCAGCAAGGTGCATCTTAGTACAGGTTCTACTGCAAATGAAGCCAAAAAGAAGGAAGATTGCTCACACTCTTGAGAAACCTCAAGACTGTTGGATAAGAGAACACATGCCAGCCACTGACTGGAGAATGGCAGGCTAAGAAAACCACGAGCTGCTCTGAGCTAATGCATGTCTTCATGTAGCAACTCCAACAAATGTTCCATTATGGTGTGAACTGGAGGTCTTGGAAGACAGAAAAATTCTGTAGAAACCCTTTCAAAAATCAAAATCAATTAAAAAATTCAAATAGGAAGCCATAGTGTCAAAAACTTGCTTGACCCCATTGTGGTCTTTGAGTTCTTTGCGGATGACTTGGCTCTATTATTTTTTGGTAATCAAAAAGTGAGAGAGAGCCAAGAGCTTGCATTTTCTGAGGGAGCCCTCAAGTAATGAGGCTGTGAACCTATGGTGGAGAGAACTGAGTCCAGATGAAGCACCCTGCATCTGTGCTGCTGGTCTCAGACCTGCTCACCCAGAAGAGTCCTGGGGTCTTCAGTGTGGTTAAAAGGAGGTTGTGATACCAGAACAAGCCTCAGGGCATGTCAGCAAGATCATCCTTACCAAGACTTGCATCATTTTGCAGAGCATATACGGGATCAGAAGTACTGACCAAAGTCATACAAAACGACTCCTGACCACAGGATGAGAAAGACACTGCATTCCAAAACTGAACAAAGAACTCCTCTGGAATAAAAATATTAGCATTTTCTGATGACGCTGAGACAGAACCCAAATCTAAGGAACTCTGCAGATGTTAAGCAGGTCCTGCCGCAAGTTTAGGAATGACTAAACAGAGATGGAACAGTTATACTTCAAGGAGATTTTCAGGAGAATAGATAATTTGCAGCCAAGACTGTACATTAGGGATGAATCTGAGTGCACACAAAAAGCTATAGACAAATGTTCCTTTTAACTACTTTAAAAAGGAAGAGGGAGCTGCCACTCAGGAGTGCACATTAACTGCTATGATGCAACTGGTAGGGGTATGTGACTCAGGCCCTATTCAATTCAGATTTGGCCAGAATTGGGCAGTGATTCAATTCGTTGATTCGGATCACCGTCCCCGATTCGATTTGGTCGAATCCAAATCTGAAGACTCGATGCTGATTCGGACATACACACAGCTTTAAAAGTTTTTTCTACATACCTTGAAGTAGCAGGTACAGCTTGTGATCGCTGTGATGCTGGGGCGGATGGAGCATCCCACAAGAGTGCAGGGGGGCCCTCTACGCGCTTGGTGGCAAACCCCTGAAGTACTTCTGGTGCATTTCCGGGTCTGCTGGGGAGCATGCTGGGGGGGGCCCCCACCTCCCTGCCTCAGCAATCGGCCACAGGGGAACCCCCCTAGACCCAGGAGGCACCAGTTACTGAGCCGGGAGGGGGGCTCCCTGCATGCTCCCCAGAGGACCCAGAAGTGGACCAGAAGTGCTTCTCCTCCACGTCTGGGTCTGCTGCCAAGCATGCTGGGGGGCCCCCTGCGCTTTTGTGGGATGCTTCATGCGCTCCACCATCACAGCACTCAAGAGTCCCTGCTACCTAGAGGTATGTAGAAAAAAAATTTAAAGCTGTGTCTATGTCCAAATCTCCAAATCTCTCCAAATCAATTCGGAGAGATTAAAGGGTCCTCTGATTTGATTTGGATTCGGAGATTTGGCCACCG